TTACACGCGAGCTCAGTTCGATTTTTCGGTTAAATTTCAAAGAATTTAACAGCAACTAATCAAGGCCTAGAAGCAGTTCTAGCTAATAGTACGGGTTTTTCAAAGAAAGACGCAAATAAAGCAATATTTGAACTTTAAAGCCCTTTGACTTGAATCTCTTTCTGCATGCTAAATCAATCACCAGTAATTTTTTTTTTATTAGCCCAGTAAATAAAAACAGCATTTGTGCATGTTTGCTTCCAACAAACACTTTAAAGCCCTTTGACTTGACTCTCTCTCTGTATGCTAAATCAAAAACTCTCTCTTGACAATATGTGGTTTCGCAATTGCATAAATATGCAAGAAGAAATGAGGTGTCTATATGTAACAGATGCAGATGATTTTAGAGCTGCTACTTTGGATGTGCAACAATTTTTCGACCGTTCACAGCGGCTTCTGGAAGTGCCATTTCTTCGTTCTAAGCATCTCCTGCAAAATCGCTGCTAGTGAACCAGTCCTAACTGAATTCCCTCAAAGCGGTACTGGTAATGATTCCAGACTAGGCACTGAAGAAACCAGAAATTTTTACTCTGTTGACGATGGTACTCGTTTTGCAGCTGTGCATCACGTTTCGGTATTGAGTGCTGCACCTCTTGCCATTTGCGACGGATATCAGCGCCCGATAGATCAGTGTACGGATTTCTCAGCAGTTCTCTGTCTAGACCGTGCTGTTCAATCAGCTGACCTATTTCCTGCAATAAATAATCCGCATTTTTATTGGTTTAGGTCCACTTTTAGAACCATTCGGAGCATCCCTCGGGCAAACAATGACCGAAGTGATCATGAGAAAAAACGCTAATAACGCGCAGATACTCCCAGCCCCATTTTTCGGAATATCGGCAAAATTTCGGATTTGTGCTATTCCTCAGCGGATTTGTGCCAACCTGTTCGATACCGACGATTGCTCTAAATTCACTGTCAGCATCGGAAATTGTTGATTTGAAGCGATTGTGTGCGTCCAGTAATTCTTGTACTTCTTTCATTTCGTGCACAATTACAGTATCAGCAAGGTCTTCTCGAGCGCCGTCCAACCTAAACATAGAATAAAGTCTAAAGTAGGCAAATTGCGGACGGATATTATCTTGCAAAGCTACGTCTGCACTCACCAGTTGTTGAATGGAGCGGCACGCTTAGCAAAATCGAGATAAAGCCTATCGAGGCGTTCTGCCACTTGCTCCGCTTCTTCCAGTTGTCTGCGCCGCTGCTGGGAAAGACTTCCGAGACGGTCCCACTGGTCGCAAACCGCCTAAAATAGAGTCGTGCTTTGATACAATAATTATCCACTGTGCTTTCATATCCAAGACTTTTCTGTTGAGGAAAACCTGGAAATGATTTTAATTTCTAAACTAGTCACAAAAACACGGGAACAGGAATACCTGGCATCTTGCATTAATTGGACCGATATCCGGATATCTCAAATTGTTTAGCTCACGAGCGATTGCAGCAATTTGTTCCACTCTGTCCTGATGCGCTCCCAGATCGCTCTCGAATGCCTCATGGCGCTTGCGAAGTGCCTTCAAAACAATTATTTACAATGTTATGGGCAATGGTACATTAGCGACCTTCTCAACGAAATTTTTCAACTAGTAGTTGAAAAATTTCGTTGAGAAGGTCGCTAATTCTATGGTATAAGCTACGTTACAGTACTTTGATTTTGTAGAGTCCGCAGGAGCGCCAGTCTGCTGACCGTAAGGCGTCTTCTTTACCGTACGCCCATTCTTCATAAAGCGCGCACTTGCGACGGAATTTCTCGGCAAGATGCTCCAATCTTTCCAGTCTGCAGTCGTATGCATATAAAATGATTTAGGAGAAGATTCACAACAATTTTGAATTTAGTTTAGCGCGGGCCAATGTAATATAGCTTGTGAAACAGAAACAAACAGCACCTCATCATTTCGCTTAAAAGCCATTCCTCGAAGCCTTTCTCGGAATC